AGAGAAACCAGCCTGATTGCTGCGGATCCGCACGTGGCCAGCGAGAAAGCCTGGACCGTGCAGAAAGCTCACGGTCTTCCGACCACAGTCAGGATGTTTGTTCAGTCAGCTTCCTTCCTGCCGTCACCCTCCCCGCTTGCTAAATACACCAGTGATTCTGCAACCTTGAAGCAAAACGTGCTGCCCCCATGAATTCCGGGTGCCACTCACACAAAGAGCGGGAAGGCGCAGTCTCCGGGACTGTCCCCTTGGTGCCTGAGGCACGGGTGCCAGTGCCAGCTGCAGCGACTGGGGGGCAGGGCTCCGAGCCTCCGCTCTGCTGGCCGCCGGCCACCACAGCCACAAACAGCAAACAGCAAGGACTCCGGGTGACGCTGGGTGCAGTCGCGTCGTTGCCTAACCACGGCCACCATCCATTTCCATCTTGCAGAACTGAAACTGTGCCCACCAAGTAACAGCTCCCTGTGGTCCCCCAAGCCCTGCCCTCTGGCAGCCCCATCTTATGCTCTGTCTCCACAAATCTCACTCCTCCAGGAAGCTCGGAGGGAGGGAATCACAATGGTCTTGGTCCTTCTGTGAGTGGCCTATTCCTCCTCACTTCATGTCTGCATGGTCTGCTCATGTTATAGCGTGCGTCCGAATTTCTGTTACTAAAAAATTTACTTATTTACAAGGCAGAAATAGACAGACAGACAGAAAGCTCCCATGTGCTAGGCTAACTGGCTGCCCCTCCTCCGTCATGCAGGCTGAATCCTGATGCTTGCTATGTGTAGGCCACATTTTGGGTGTCCATTCATCCACCGATGGACATTTGGGTTGCTGTTGTACTTAATGCTGCCATGGTCACAGCTATACAAATGGCTTTTTGAAATTCCACTATTTTTTTTAAGATTTATTTGTTTATTTGAAAGTCAGAGTTACACAGAGAGAGAAGGAAAGGCAGAGAGAGAGAGAGAGAGAGAGAGGGAGGGAGGGAGGGAGGGAGGTCTTCCATCTGCTGGTTCACTCTCATAATGGCTGTAATGACCAGGGCTGGGTCAGGCCAAAGCCAGGAGCCGGAACTTCATCCGAGTTTCCTTTACCCGCTACGCTACCATGCCGGCCCCTGCTTGTTCGTTATATTTTTGTTGTTGAATTGTAGGAGTTCTTAATATATTCTGGGTATTAAGCCCTTATATGAAATGCAAACACCTTCTCCCATTCTGTAGGTTGCCCTTTCATCCCGTTGACTGTCTTTCGCTGCATACAAGTTTTCTGTTTTGATGGAATCCAAGTTATCTTGTTTCACTTTTTTGTTGCCTGTTGCTTTTGGCCTGTTTGCTCATGGCCAAGAAATCATCGCCAAATCCAACATCATCAAACTTTCTCTCTGCCTTTTCTTCTAAGAGCTTTATCATTCTGGATTATTATAAAAGCCAAAGAAACACGGTAACATGTGAAATGGTCTCAGCCAGGTTGGAGAGAAGAGTCGGGACCGTTTGCACTTAGTCTGTGGCCAGAGCAACACAAAGGAGCAGTGCACATCCTTTCCAGGAACTCCTGGCATCCCCACTGAAAGAGCCTTGGTTTTCCCATCTGCAAAATGGGCCTGCTCTGTTGTGAGGATTCAGTGAGAAAGGATGTGAGGCAAGTGGCCTTCACTACGCGCCTGCCCAGTGGCAGCCAGCCGGGTCACCGCTGCAAGCCCTGACCGCTCCAAACCCTGCAGGGGTCTGTTGGCCAACTTGCCCAGGAGCCCTCAGGGAGTCCAGGCCAGGCCAAGCGGAGCAAGCAATTGCTGCCAGGGCCATGCAGCCCAGTGCCTGAGTAATAAGAAGGGGATCCTGAATTTCACAGCCGCCACCGGCAGGCACAGAAGGGGAGCCAATTCCTGCCCATCGGACACTCATTGGCCCTGTTTTCCCTCCAGCCTCTGGCAGCCTCGCTGACTGCACCCCAGCTCCCTCACTGGGCCCTCAGGAAACCGCAGTCCCAGCCTCTGCTGATCACGCCGTGTCCTCCTCTGCTCCTGGAGCCCAGACAGACACCCGGCCTTCCTCCCTCATCTCTTCCTTGTCCGTTCTCCTTGGTCTGGATCACAGAAGGCTCCCGAAAAATGGGGAAACTGAGAAAGCAAAACCAGCTCAACTCTCCGTGAGGGTGGGCGTGGGAAGTTACAAAAAATTCCGGTTCTGGGGCTGGGGCTGGTGCTGGTTAAGCCACCGCTTGCCACACCTGCGTTCCAGGTTGAGCTGGTTCAAGTCTTGGCTGTTCCACTTGAACCCAGCTCCCTGCTAATATGTCTGGGAAAGCAGCAAAAGATGGCACACGTGCTGGGGCCCCTGCACCCATGTGGGATACGAGGCTGGAATTCCTGGCTTGTGGCTTCTCACTGGCTCAGCAACAGGTTATTAAAGTGATTTGGAGAGTGAACCAGCAGATGGAAGAGTCTGTCTCTGTCTCTGTCTCTCTCTCTCTGTCTCTGGTACTCTGCCTGTCAAATAAATAAGTAAATCTCTTTTTAAAAACCCAGGTTAATTTTTTTTTTTTACATAAGAAGAATCCACTCAGGCAACATGGATGGACCTTGAAAGCATGGTGTTAAGAAAAGGAGAAGACACAAAAGCCTATAGGATCCCATTTCTGTGAAAGACCGGAACAGGGAAGCCAGTAGAGACAGGAAGTAGGCTGCTGGCTGTATAGGCATGGGGGATAGACAGAGGGTGAAGGCGAGGTGGGAGAGTGTGTGCAGGGAGGGGTCCTGGGATGGATTGCATTGATGGACACACAACTCTCCAACTATACTACCAGCCACCGAGTTGTACACTTTCCATGGGTACCTTGTCTGGCACAGCAGTCCCACCCATCCGCAGTTTTGCTTTCTGCAGTTTGAGTTACCTGTGGCCAACCCCAGTTCGTAAATATTAAATGATCAATGCCAGAGACAAGCAATTCATGTTTTAAATACATGTTGCTATACTATGTTGTTAGCATCGTTCTATTTTATTACTAGTTATGATTGTTAGTCTCTTCTGTGCCTGGTTTCTTTCTTTCTTTCTTTCTTTCTTTCTTTCTTTCTTTCTTTCTTTCTTTCTTTCTTTCTTTCTTTCTTTCTTTCTTAAGACATAGTTACAGAGAGAGGTAGAGACAGAGAGAGAGGTCTTCCATCCTCTGGTTCACTCCCCAGATGGCCGCAACATCTGGAGCTGTGCCGATCTGAAGCCAGGAACTTCTTCCAGGTCTCCCACGTGGGTGCAGGGGCCCAAGGACTTGCGCCATCTTCTACTGCTTTCCCAGGCCACAGCAGAGAGCTGGATCAGAAGAGGAGCAGCTGGGACTAGAACCGGCGTCCATATGGGATGCTGGTGCTTCAGGCCAGGGTTTTAACCTGCTGTGCCACAGCGCCTGCCCTCTATGCCTGATTTCTTTTTTTTTTTTTTTTTACTTTTTTTAAACTTTTATTTAATAAATATAAATTTCCAAAGTACAGCTTTTGGATTACAGTGGCTTCCCTCCCCCCATATCTTCCCTCCCACCCATAACCCTCCATCTGTTGCTCCCTCTCCCATACCATTCACATCAAGATTCATTTTCAATTATCTTTATATACAGAAGATCAATTTAGTATATACTAAGTAAAGATTTCAACAGTTTGCACCCACACGGAAACACAAAGTGTAAAGTACTGTTTGAGTACTAGTTATGCCATTACTTCACATGGTACAACACATCAAGGACAGAGATCCTACACGGGGAGTAAGTGCACAGTAACTCCTGTTGTTGACTTAACAATTGACACTCTTGCTTATGGCGTCAGTAATCACCCTAGGCTCTTGTCATGAGTTGCCAAGGCTATGGAAGCCTTTTGAGTTCGCAGACATCGATCTTATTTAGGCAGGGTCATAGTCAAAGTGGAAGTTCTCTCCTCCCTTCTACCTCCTTCTTTGATGGCCCGTTCTTTCTGCTGGGCTCTCACTCACAGAGATCTTTCATTTAGGTTTTTTTTTTTTTTTCTACAGTGTCTTGTCTATGCCTGATTTCTAAATCACCTGTATCACTGGTATGTATGCACAGGAGACAATGCTGTGTGCACAGGGGTTTGATGCATCTGTGCACAGTCCTGGCATGCCTCCTTTGTGCATGAAAGATGCCGGCTTATAGCCGGTAAAGCTGTTTTCTGAACAAAATCCCTTCCCATCCCAAACATGCAGCGGGGTGCTGAGGCGTGAAGTCGCTGACCCAGGGTCACGTGCCAGCCAGCATTGTTAGTCTGCCCACAAACCACTCTGTCCCCTCGGCTGTGCTGCTTCCCTCAGGGTCGGGGTGTGTGTGTGTGTGTGTGTGTGTGTGTGGCATTTGCCCCTCTCCAGAGGGCATTAGCTAATATTTTAACAGCATTGTCTCCGGGTGATCGAATTTGCTTTCTTCTTTGTCCTCTCTTGTATTATTTGTGTGTCTTCGTACAATTAAAAGAACTTTAAAAGCATCCTTTAAGAAGTGTAGGTGACAGGGAGATCAACAGGTGCCAGGAGTAGACACTCTTGTGAGTGCGCGACTGCGATTCAGGGCTTTCTGCGAGGTAGGCGCTGGCGAGGCACGTGGCTCATGGAGCTGAAGCCACTGGTGTCCTCATTTTTACAGATGAGGTCTCAAGAAGTGAAGCAGCCCGGGCCTGGGAGACACAGCTGTGATGGCAGGGCCAGGGGCTGTCCCCAGGTCCATCTCTTTCTCCCCAGCTGTTTTCTGGGGAACTGAGCCAGCTGGAGCCACCAGGACGTGGGGTCTGGCCACACTCCTTGGTGATAGCGGTCAGATGTAGACCCTGCATTTGCGGAGGACAATTGGCAAGGGAACAAGCAGAGACGTGAAGGCACGGGGGGCTGTGTGCTACAGGAACAGCTGAGGTCTGAGGACACAGAAGGTAGGGACATCATCCCTGCTTCAACCCCCAGGGTGGGGTCATTTTGTGAGGTCAGAGAAGAGGGTGGAGCATGAATTAGGTCCTAACTGTCCAGGGAAGGCTCGGGGCAGCTTTATGCAGTAGTGAGCTCTCCATCGCTGGAGGTATGCAAGCTGAGACCGGACTTCAGCTGAGCAGAGTTGGTGAGGAGTGGCTTTGTGCACTGGGCGCAGGTTGGGATATGAGTAAATTGGACAGTTTGTGCTGGGTGACGACCCATGCCCCTTCCCCATCAATCGCCACTGTTCACAACCACCAGTTATTTCTCACTCGCTTGTCTTTACTGAGCTGTTGCTCAGCCAGGCTGGGGTGGAACTCTATCTATAAAGAGGTGGTGGAGGTGGGGATGGAGGAATGGGGCAATAAGCCAGTGCCCAAGTGTGAGTGGGGCCAGTCAGAGGTCCCCGCGATGGGCAAACGGCAGGTAGCTTGCTGGGTACTAGTGGCTTGCTGCTGGGGTTGTAGGATGCGATGTGTACCCTCCATCACCCAAACACCAGTTACAAATTCTATTAACACAATAGCTTGGACTCATGGTCTTTGGGGGAGTGAACTATCCGCCCAGTGTCCAGAATGGGGAAAAGGCAGGGAGCACCTAGACCATGGGTGGGAGTTGTTTTGATTGAACCATCACAGCATAGGTAGGCTGGAGGGACCCAGGGCTCCAGGGCGCTGTGTCTGACTTGTGTCAGGGAGCGCACGTGGGAGAGTTTGGGGCTCCGTGGACAATCCTTTGCAGCTTTCACTAACCACTGACCTGGCACTGGGGTAGCAACAGTGTCCTCCTTTTGCTGGAGAGAATAGCGAGTGGGCTGGGTGAACCCTTGAGACATAGTCCAAAGCTAAAAGGAAACTCGAAATCACCCCCAATCGCCTTGGGAGTCTAGAATTCTCATTGGAGGCTGGATGTAGTTGTTCCAAGCAGAGTGTCAACGCACCTGCCATGTTGGGAGAACTTTCTAGAATATCTGGACCAAGCAAGAGCCCGAGACAGCTCTCCTCTAGGGTTGTTGGAGCGCTGGGGGATGGGGTGTGGAGGGAAGGTACCCACAGCCCGTCCAGGGAGGCGCAAGGGAAAGAAGCCGCCCGCCCTCACCTGGGGCTGAGGCGTGGCAGATGGCGGCGAGGAGGAGGACGGGCTCCGTGGGCAGAGGGACGGACACGAGGCGCCGCCCACGGAAGGATGCCACGCAGCTTCTCTCCTTCACGCGGCTTTCAGCCGCTTCTCACGTGCATCTCTATTTCCTGTTCAAGATGACAAATGTATTCAGATGTATGCTAATTGCACAGCCGGCACCCAGAATAGAATTCGTCGTAGGCAGAGACTGCAGAGTCCCCCACTGCTGCGGTGAGAGACCGGAGTCGGAGGCTCCCGCTGGAGCGACTCGGACCCTGGGTCTTCCCGCTGCTCTCGGGGCAGCGACGTGCGGCGGCGGAAGCACCCGCAGCTGGCCTTTGAGCTGCCTAGCTTTAAGCAAGTCCTTTCTCCTCTTTGGGTTTCCAAAAATCTCAAAGAGGGATGCAGGCAGGTCCTCCTGTCGCTTTGCCTCCTCCAGGGCTTGGGCCATCGCCCTGGGGGCTTGGAGCCCACGGTGGCTTCTTCCTTGCAGGAGGAGCTGCCCGGCTGCCTGGTCACTTGGGTCCCCCTCTCACCAGGTCGCTTAGAAGCAAGCGGCACGCCCTTTCCCGCCCTCCTGGAACTCCCGGCAGCTCCCTGCTAAGAGTTCTACAGCCCGAATTCCATCAGGGCAGCCCGGCCCGCCTAGCTCGTGTGTCCCCCTGTCACCCCTGGGCGAGCAGCAGGAAGCTGTCCTTTCTTTAGCTCTGGTGACCCCGGGAATGTCCAGGGTCCAGGTTGGAATCCTGGCTGGGCTGTAATGCCTTGTGCAAGTCCATGCATCTCCCTGCATCTCATTTTTCTCATTAAAACGGGGCCGGCAGCGCGAACCTCGCGGAATTCTGATGAGGGTGACATTAAATGAGATAATCTATGCAAAGCAGCAGATGCACAGCCAGCGATTCTAAGCTGCAGCTATTTTTACCTCGGTAAATGCGCTTCAGACCCGGGTGGTTTTTCTGAAGCTCCTCCACGGAGGATCCTCCCCAGGCTTTGGCACCGATGATCGCCCTTGCTTTTCCCAGCTCCTCTGCTTTGCTGGCTCGACCTCAGCTGGCAGATGGGGAAACTGAGGCGGGGGGGAGGGGGTGAAGCTGCAGAGCAGGGACTTCCGGGAAGTTTTCTCCCACCACGTTTTGGGTTTTCCACTGCTCCCCTGGACCCTCACAGCCCAGGGTCCTGGGACCACTCTGGCTCAGGGTGGAAGGGAGCCGGGCCCATGGCAGGGCTCAGCCGCAAGAGGACAAGGGTGGAGGGGTGGGGGGCCCGAGGACAACAGTGGGGTGCCAAGATTGGGGCTGTGGGAGCGTCCACCCAGTTGGGGCAATAAGGAGCCAGTCAACAGAATTTAGCACCATTCTCAAATCCACTAGAAGTCAGTTTGCTTTTTTTTTTTTTTAATCTGAAATGCCACTACACACAATGCAGCCATCAAGAATTCCACCCCATTGAATACTTGTTGTTGGTCTAAGTTCTAAACAATTGCTGTCATTCTTGATGAGTTCTTAGTAACCTATGTTGGCCCCAAATTAGCACATTGTTATCATGTATCCTTTAAAAATATTTATTTTATGTGGAAATTAATTGTGAGGGCTTCCTGTTTGCCGTTGACCATGGTACACCCAGACTCAGCTACAAGCTCCGGCTTTGAGAATATAAGCCCTTCAAAGTCTGGACTCATTCAAGGTCACTTTGGGTGAAGTTCACAAGCGGACTTCAAAAAGTCCACAGAAAAATGGAATTAAAAGACAGGGTAATTTTGGTGCAAAAAACTTTTGAAATCCAAGCACAGTTTTTTTCATCATACGCATTTCCATCGACTTTTTGAAGAGCTCCATGACTACAGCCTCTGGAGTCCTGTATACTGCGGCGTTTGAACATTAGATAAGAAATACCGGGGGGGGGGGGGGGGGGAGCGGGGGGGGGGGAAGCTGTGGCATAGCAGGTAAAGCTGCCGCCTGCAGTGCCAGCATCCCATATGGGGGCCGGTTCCAGTCCCGGTTGCTCCACTTCTGATCCAGCTCTCTGCTATGGCCTGGGAAAGCAGTAGAGGATGGTCCAAGTCCTTAGGCCCCTGCATCCACGTGGGAGAGCCGGAAGAAGTTCCTGGCTTTGGATCGGCACAGCTCCAGCCGTAGCAGCCAATTGGGGAGTGAACCAGTGGATGGAAGACCTCTCTCTCTCTCTGCTTCTCCTTCTCTCTCTGTGTAACTCTGACTTTCAAATAAATAAATAAATATTTAAAAAAAGAAATCACTGAGGGTGAAGTCATGGAATGAGGGTGAGGGTATCTTCAATTCTGTCACTTTATGTGACCACTTGGAGCTATTATTTATGTTCACATTTTTTAGATTTATTTATTTGACAGGCAGAGTGACAGGGAGAGAGAGACAGACAGAGACAGAGACAGAGAGATGGGGTGGGGGGCAGGAGAGCTTCCATCTGCTGGTTCACTCCCCAAATCATTGCTGTTGTGGACCAGATCAAAGCCAGGAGCCAAGAGCTCCATCTGGGTCTCCCATGAAGGTGACAGGGGCCCAAGCACCTGGGCCATCTTCTGCTGAATTCCTAGATGCATTAGCAGGGAGCTGGATCGGAAGTGGAGCAGCCAGGACCCAAAATGATGCTCTGATATGGGATGCCAGGGTCACAAGAGACCCTTACCCTGCTGAGCCACGATGCCAGTCCCTGTGTTCATGGACTAGTACACACTGTGAGGTGGAATGCTTTTGTTTGATAACGCAGACTTCAGCTTATATATAAAATATGCCAGCTTCCCTTTAGATTAGTATTTATTTCAGGTTATTCTACCTGAGTGCTCCCCTGTGGAGAGATTCACTCAGTGTGCTGATTACGGTAGGTACAGCCTCTGCCAAGGAGCCATTCAGACCGAGACCAGGCCCCTGGGAGGGCTGGGGTGGCTTCTGGCTCCCGCTGCTTAGATCAAGTCTGTCCCGCAGTGTGGGAGCCGTGAGCCTGCCTGCTGGGGCTACCTTAGGAGACAGCAGCCAGTAGGACAATGAAAACATAGGCTTTATGGCCGGCGCCACGGCTCAGTAGGCTAATCCTCTGCCTGCACCCCGGCACACCGGGTTCTAGTCCCGGTCGGGGCACCGGATTCTGTCCCAGTTGCCCCTCTTCCAGGCCAGCTCTCTGCTGTGGCCCAGGAGTGCAGTGGAGGATGGCCCAAGTGCTTGGGCCCCGCACCTGCATGGGAGACCAGGAGAAGCACCTGGCTCCTGCCTTCGGATCAGCGCGGTGTGCCGGCCACAGCAGCCATTGGAGGGCGAACCAATGGTAAAGGAAGACCTTTCTCTCTGTCTCTCTCTCTCTCACTGTCCACTCTGCCTGTCAAAAAAAAAAAAAAAAAAAAAAAAAAAAAAGGCTTTGAGGTCAGAAATGCCAGACCCCCTCTCTGAGCCTCAGTGTGCCCGTCCGTGAAACAGACGGCAGCAGCATCTGCCCGCCAGTTTGGGAGCGGTTTGAGGGTTCAATGGGACGATGTGGCCCAGCTCTGCCCCGCCCAGGAGTTCACCATCACTGGAAGGTGGGGAGGAGAGAGGTCAGAAGCAGAGCCAAGTGTGAGTGTGGGCGTGTCCAAGAGGAACTGGCTCGGCTACGGTGAGCAGAAGAAACAAGCCTCTCTTGAGGGCTCAGTCTGGGTTCTGGAAAGCCTGCTTCCTCCAGATGCCAGGAATGGGGAATTTTTTTTTCTTTTTTTTTTCTTTTATTTTTTGACAGGCAGAGTGGACAGTGAGAGAGAGAGAGACAGAGAGAAAGGTCTTCCTTTGCTGTTGGTTCACCCTCCAATGGCCGCCACGGCCGGCGCGCTGCGGCCTGCGCACCGCACTGATCCAATGGCAGGAGCCAGGTGCTTCTCCTGGTCTCCCATGGGGTGCAGGGCCCAAGGACCTGGGCCATCCTCCACTGCACTCCCTGGCCACAGCAGAGAGCTGGACTGGAAGAGGGGCAACCGGGACGGAATCCGGCGCCCCGACCGGGACTAGAACCTGGTGTGCCAGCGCC